CGTTGCTAATTATATTCCCAAAGAGGATTCGTCGCCTGTCAGTTCGGCTGCAGTAACCAAATTTCTGCTATTACAACAAGGAATCACGCGTTTTGTACGTGATGCATTAGAAGAGGCAGTCGACAAGCAAAAAGACAACGAAGACAAATGAGGTCAAAAGAATATGTTGACATTTCGAGAAGGCGACAGAGTATTATTATCAACTAGTGGATTACCGAACACCTCAGTGACGAATTTGGGCGCTCATAAGTTAGCGCCAAGATATATTGGCCCATTTCGGTTTGTTAAGGTTCATGGTGACGCTTACACGCTAGACATACCTACATTTCATTATCACGGAATCGATTGTCCGAATTCAAATCGTCCTTCCCTATGCGCTTGCACCCGACGTTCTATGTCGGGCTCCTCAAGGCTTACCTACCGGCGGATCTCCCTTCGAATCTTCCCCGCTCTTCTATGCCGGCTCAAAATCCGACACCCCTTGACGACGACGCTGACGACGACTGGGACCAAGTCCTCTCGAACGCGTGCAGACTCGATCTGCTGGGGTCCTCCGAACGCGGTCGTCTCAAGTTGACGTAGGCGCTCAGCCAGTAGCCGCTGCTCACGTCGAGTCCGCTCATCAGCCTCAGTCGTAGCGACCGCACGATCTTGAGCTCTCTCATCCATCTTGCGAGCATCAAGTAGGGCATTCTTAGACTCCTCGGCTTCAGCGCGAAGTAGGCGTAGCTCGTCATTCGACTGTACAAGCGCCCAATTGCGAGAATCGGCGCTCATCGCCAGAGATCTTCCGTCGTGATGCTCCTCCTCCATTAGTCGATGCATCGGGTGCGCGACATTGTATTGTTGACCGTATTGTCGATCACGAGAATCACAAGCCCCAGAAGACGAGTAATGACTCGGCGCTCACGAAAAACCATTCGGGAAACATTACAGGGTTCGCTGATTGGGATATTCACCGGCGGACGATACATGGGAGCCATCGAGTACGCTGACCAGGATGTACCGGACGTGATCGAGGACTATGTGTCCCGTAGAAAGATGGTGATCGCGACCGACGCTGCCGGTTCCATCTCCGATCTCGCGAGCCGTAATGCTCGTGAGCAACGGAACCATGAAGACCTCCCGAGCGACTCCGAGACCGAGACCTATTACGAGGATCGGGAGCATACGGATGATACGGTTGACGACCTCGGCTACGTGAACGCCGTCGGCGATCGTAAGGACGCGTTCTCACTCGCCGTAGCTCGGACACCTGGAACTCCGAAAGGCTTCTCTCATAACGGGCAATCCATGGACGAATATGATCGGGCATCCCCCCGCGTACATACCAACGTTCCATTCCTGCCGGACCGGTCGCGATCTTCCCATGTTGCACGTTGGACATCCTTCACGAACGTGGACGTAACAAAGGTGATACTCGTCACAAGTCATGCGACAGATGCGTCGGCGCAGGTCGCCAATAGCGTGTCTATCACGCGTTCCCTCGCGACCGTCTAACCAGGACGTGAAGGACGTTCCTTCACGTCGGCTCACGTTCCAGCGTCTAATGAAGGCATACCAAGATCTCTGCAACGCATCGTCGGTATACGCGTTGTTCGTCGCTTTGCCTCTCACTGTACGGTATCGCGTGAGGAGGTCCTTCATGACCTCCAGTGGCTCGGGTTCGACAGCACCTTCAAGACCATACAAGCGCCACGGTTTCAAGTCTCCATCCATGACCTGCGGCGCCTGCTCTCTTCGGATCGTCGCTTGGTGTTCCCAGTTCTGGCTGTCAGAGACATTGTTTCTTGGACATCCAGGGTCCATGCTGCTCAGTTATGTCTAACTGAGCAGGTTCGAAGTTACGCCGTTGGTCGAGAAGAACATTCTACGTTTCGCGCTTACGTTGAGGTAAGCGAAACTTAAAGAGGGGTGATGTAATGAGCAACCTATTACATAAGTAGTTTTAGGAATAATACGTAATTACATAAGTAGGCATAGGGCAGTATCCGATTAGCAGATACTGCGCGCATTTTATTATTGGGGTGCCAGAACCAATACTTAATCGATAATAAATTGACTTTCATATTGAGTGGTTCCCATGAGCTAGGGAACATATTCGGTCTTGTTGCGAATAAAAAAATAAAAGAAAATAGAGTTATATTTACGATTGATTAAGAGCGCTTCCTCAACGCCCTTTTAGTGTAAGACGGTAACGGGTCCTTAGTCTGTTACAGTCGAAGGTATATTTAAATGATTGCTTTAAAAGAGAGAATTGACAGCACTTATCAATTAGCATGTATTGGTGCTGTAAACTCTTTCCATGTCAGGCTGCTTCCAGCAAGTGCGAAATTTTTTTTCGCACTTGCTGGAAGCAGCCTGACATGGAAAGAGTACAAAATCTGTGCTTGGTCGATGGATACTCCATATTAAGCACCCGCCCTGCGTGAAGCTGCTTATCTTAACCGACAAAGAGATGGAAATTAGCAAGAAGAACGAATCGTATGGACGCGGATCGACGTGCTTACGCCGAGCGCTGATGGAACCTGTCATTTTCATCGATGGGACAGAGCTGACTATGGATGAGGTGAAGCTGCGAGGGAGCGATTGCTGGCCAAGAAAGAAAAGGCCAATGACGAAGCCGAGTCTATGAAGAAGCTAAGCTGACCTTGGAGGAGGCCAAAACGATAATGTAGAACAATACTATATTGCAGTTACAGCTCTGACCTACGGCGAGCGCGGAGCCATCGTGAGCTACCTTCGCTGTGCCAACACGCTCAATATCTCTTCTGATTCTGCTCGAAGCATGCAATAACTTATTTCTAATACCATTCTTTTGCCTTTTTTATTCTACTGATAGCGCACTTTGCTTATTCTTCCAGATCGACACACACTTATCGAAAAAAAATTGCATGGTCTCTCGTTGCGTCCCACTACTGTAAGCAAAAGCGAATTAAACCGACCACGGCAAAAAGCCCTTAAGCAAATGCTATGTGTTAGCGGGTCCATCTAGAGTTCCTGAACATTATTCGCTGCTATGAGGATGTTGAATGGAAAAAAGCCATCCACTACGCTGCCTTTGCTGTGCGTGCTAGTCACCACAGCGTTCTATATGCATCGCCAGGCCAGCTGATATATGGACAAGACATGATATCACGTCGGCTTCACGAAGCTAGTTGGAGCTATCTCTCTAAGCGACGGTTCGAAGCGATCTTACCAGATAATACTCGCGAAAACCGCAAACGATTGGAACACTTCTACAGCCCCGGCGATCACATCATGCTCCGTGTCCCGCATTCGACGCATCTTTCCGTGTTCAGCCTAGTGCGGCATGGGGGGCGTATGACATGCCAGTTGATATGACAGACAGTTCATGGCATGAAAGAGTTGAGAGTTTCTGACATGCCCCAGTTGACAGGTTATAACAGCACGTTAGGTTGAGCACGATAGGACTTATGGTAGGTTAATTAATTCATCTCTCATTTTTACCTACATCTCCAGAAGCCTCTCCAGCAAGCTCTCGGAGCCGATTGCCCCTCTGCCAGCCAGGGTATGTCATTATTTATTAATAAAAAATGAATTAATAATCAGTTTTATTATGATAGATCAAAGCAAAAAATGAAATTAATAGAAAAATTCAAATAGTTTAAATATAAAACATGAAGTAGCTATAAGAAATAATTATATATTCCATAACTATATTATATGGTATAAAGACCATTTAATATCGTAATAGAATATACATGTATTGCTAAACTAATTGCGCACTTTGCTGATCCTTCCAGATCGACGCACACTTATCGAGATATTTTCGCATGGTCTCTCGTCGCGTCCACTACTGTAAGCAAAAGTTAATTGTATTCGAAAAATGAATATATATTCAGTTTTATTTAAATAGATCAAAGCAAAAAAAATGAAATTAATAGAAGATTTCAAACAGCTTTAAATATAAAATATGGAATAGCTATAAGCTAAAGTAGTTATATATTCCATAACTATATTATATGGTATAAATAAATTTCGATCTTCGATAATCTGTAGAAATATTGAAACTTACCCTTACATTACCCTTAGAATTATTTTAGAAACAACCACGTAATTCAACATATCACTTACATTGTTAATACGTTATAAGTTCAGAAAAATATAAACTTAGAAGATCAAATGATGGGGAAATTGTTTGTGGGTAGGTTAACACTGATACTGATTGACTTATCTTCATACTTACACACGCCTTCCTCCAAGTAGCAGACAAAAAGGCAACCATTATCACGGCGCAATCTTGAAACGACATCATTGGTCCAAACACCAGTATTAAATCCCGGTGGAGTGCTGAACGTGAGTAGTGCCCCATTGCGGTCATTCGATAACGGCAATTTATCGAGTGCCAAAGAGCTTTTTGGTATTCCGGGTCTAGACATCCTCGGCCTCGAAATTCTTTTTTTCAAAATCACCTAAGGTCTTCCGGCATTCTAGAGGTACTAGTATCCGACCTATCGGCGACACCCTTCGGTCGCCAGGATGTCATTTGTGTAATGGGGCAACCTATTACATTATAGGAATAATATAACTCTCCACAGGTACGAATAGGGCAGTATCATAATATTATCTTATAAGGTAATATTGCATAAAAATTTTTAGATTAAATTAATATTGTCGAATGTTTATTAGCTAAGATAATATTCACATTTGCACCTAATGTTAGTGCCAACGTTATGTGACGGGCTCACGCCGTTACATAGTCAATAATATTTACGTGAGAATTTAATTAATTCCGGAGCGTAGATATATCTTTCGCAAGTTCGGTTTATGATGCCCAATTTTCAAAAGAAATACCAATTTGGCTTTAAAACAACAGCTTTTCTCAATATACAATTGAAATGGAGATTTGCTAAAAATTCAAACTTGAAAAAATGGCTCTAATTCTACACCGCAGTGTAATAAAGCCAGCATGATTCTTCTTCATTAAACATATGAAGTGCGTGCGTTCTCTTCTAGATATCAGCTTTACTGTCAGCCTAGAAGTCTCCTGCAAATTCCCCGCCACCAAAATCACCGCCGCCACCCAAATCACCACCGCCGCTATTCATGTCACCTATAGCTTCTCCAATTAGAAGCCCACCCAGAAGACCTCCAGCAGCGCCCATAGCCACGGCACCACCTGTGCCCATACCACGACGCCCACCATGTCGGTCATCACCCCCGTAGCCTCTATTATCATATCCTGGCTGGACGTAAGTAGGTTGGGCATAGCCTCCTTGTGCATACACTGGTTGAGTGTACGCTCCCGGTCCGTGTCCCTGCTGAGTATATCCGCCTTGGTTATACTCGGGCTGCTGAGCGTAGGTCACGCCAACCTCACCTGGGCAATTACCGTCACCACGTTGTTGTATGCGGCGCTTGCGCATGGCCATGAACACACCACCCCCGATCAGCGCGCCGACGATGAAGACGCCGAGGCCGATCCACATCCAGTAGCTTTTGCTCTTGCTCTTGCGCTGACACGTGCACTCGTAATTGTTTTCCGAGGAGCAGACGTCGCTGGCAGGGCAGCAACAAGCGCGGCGGTTACTGGATGGGTCCAGCCACGAGTGGCAAAACTTGCCGGCAGCTCCTCTGTATGCCTCAGAGCAATCGCCCGTATCGCGGCAGATTTCACACTGTGAGGGAGTAGAAGCGGAGGATTTGGAAGTGGTTGCAGACGTGGGGCCACTGGGCGACTGGGCGGAAGTTACGGCAGCTAGCGCCACCAGGAACAGCAAATCACGAAGTCGCATGTTGGTAGTTATGTTTAATTTGCAAACTGTGTGTTTCAACACTGGAAGAAGGGAGCAATCATCAATATCGAAAAATCGAACATAGATAAGAAAGGTAGGTGCTTATACGCACTGTGTATAGTGTCAAACAGCAGTAATCACTGCTGATATATAAATTCATACAAGAATAATGGATACTTACGAATATCCAGCAATCAAGCGATTTGCTCGAAAAAAATCAATTCGATCGTGTAGGTACAAAAATACCCGTACAAATTGTACGATGGCGATAGCTTGGAGGCGACGAGTGCTGACAGCATTCGTGGGAATCCCGACGGCACTTCACCTGCTGAGCTCTGATGTGGGCATGCTGCTACTAGCCACGATGATGTGCTGCTTATCGCTAGTAGAGTTCACTGACACCATCTGCCTACATATAGTGCCCCAACCAAAGTCGGCGACAGAGAAGATGGTGCATCGCCTGCTCTTGGTTGCATCGGGTGCTGTGCTGTGCGTAGGCGCGTGGACTGGCGTCAAATATGTTTATGGTGGGAGAAATGTCGCTCTTTTACTTAGCTCTGATATCGTCAGAAGCTAAATATGGTGGCTCTCTCGTTTAATTCAATTGCAGATGCCATGAGTTTCGCTGCGACCTTAGCTATCTCCACGTACCACATCGCGACAGCCAGGAAGATGGACCAAATAAGTAGGCGAATAGAAAATGTGCAAATTGCAAATAGCGCACTGACAATCGCTTGTGTTACTGTAGCGCTGATCAAGTTGCTGTTGGATCTGTTTGCGCTGCTGTACATAGTAAACGGCTTTAGCCACGCCATTTTGCTAAGATACAGCTCACACAAGTACGGGTTTGGGCTGCAGATCCTTGGACTTTGCTGTGCCTGGGTTTGTGACAGTTGTGCTCTTGTAGCGGGGTCCTTAATGGGTGACACAAAACTAGCACCCGTTGTAAGTCCAGGCAAGACGCTCGTGGGTGCTATTGCTGGGGTCACCTCAAGTGTCGTCACAGTGCTGATCCTGTTTGCACTCCCACACCTTACATTCTCGTTACCAGCAATTGGCCAGTGGACACACGAGCTGCTGCCTCCACCAGACGTAGTGCCTCGTACTCACCAGGTGATGCTCGGTGTGCTGCTTGGTGTTTTGTGCATATTGGGAGATCTTGTAGAGTCGTTCGTGAAACGCGTTGCCGGAGTGAAGGACTCGGGTTCGTTCTTCCCGGGCCACGGTGGATGTCTTGATCGTATGGATAGCTTCTTGTTTGTCGCGCCGTGCCTGTATTTCTACAGTCAGTTTGTTTTGTTTAAGCCGACGTAACAAGTTCCGAGCAAAGGCAATATGATAGCATGTCAACAGGAACTCAATAGAGTTTACAGCTTACTGCAATTGAAGATTTACAATGTGGCATCTACAGCCTCCTCCACGATCGACTCAACCTTCGTCTTGCTGTTTCCATTCATCGTGGTGTCAGGCTTCGACGGTTCCATCGTCAGCAGAGCCTTCGAAGTTCCCACTTTTTCTACCTGGGCCGGATCGTTAATGTCAATCTCCACGGTCTTTGTCTTTGAGTTCTTTCGCAGGAACTTCTGGCGATCTTTTCGAGATCCGCCCAATTTGCTTGAATACTTGCGAATCCGGTCCCTACAGCCATTTACATTATTACTGTACGAATACACAAACTTTTTAAGAGCGGTACAGCTCGTATTGCAGACGTACGTGATGACGCCCGTGTCAGACACGTTGAGCTTGAAAGAGGTTCTGCGCATTGCCAGACTGAACTCCGTGACTTTCCCGTCGCCGACCCCGTGCAGAGCATTCAGCTTAGCAGAAGCCTCGGCTTGCTGGATAGCAATCTCATCGTACACGCACTTCTCGTTCCGCTTGGTGCACCAGTAGCAGATGCCCACGCACACAAGCAGCAGGATGACCAGGTTTGACCCGAAACTAGACTGAGCAGTAGAAAACACCCAAAATCAGAGTAGAACAACTGCTTCATCATGCCTCTCTCTGCCGTCAACGCACCTTTACCATGCCCTTGGCGATTATACCGAACACGAAGAGCAGCAGCAGATATTGCGTTCGGAGCTGCATGATGTCCGACTTTGCACGATTTTTAAAGTATAATTTAATGTGTTGACACACAGAAAAGTAGATGAAACATCGCGACAAGTCAGTTTCATAACTTTGTAGAGCGCGCTTTATACGCAAGAGCAAAGACGCTGCTTCAAACGGCTCTACTTTTTCCGCGCACTTGGCGTGCTGCAATATTTGGGTTACTCAAATGACCGTCTAGTCTGATTATCGCTCAACGAAGCCAGGCGCTGCCATACGAGATGCATTACGTTAACCGTCAAGCGATTCGCCAAGCAAAAAGCGCTCGAACACACTAAGATACTCGAGCCCGAACAATATCGCTTGCAAAATTAGCTTTGTTCTAAGATGTCTTTGACATTAGAAATATGTGCATCCATTATATATTGTCCTCTACGCGTACAGCGTTATATGAAATTGTGTTATCGACTGCTTAAATCTCCACGCAGCAGTTATTTTGTGCATCATGACTGTAGCAATCCTGTAGAGTACATTTTCATTCAGTTTTTGTTGTCAATTGATCGTGCTTGAGTGTCAATCCTTGCGCTTGCACAAGGACTGACACTCATGCACGATCAAGTAAACTCTCAGTATCGGTGTGAACTTCTGACACCAGTGCAAAGGCGCGGCCGCCCACTAAAACGATTTTTTGCAGAATCTGCCGCCACTGCAGCTGATGCCTTTCAGCATACTCATCTTAGCAAATGCAAAAGAATGTCAGCCAACCGCCCGTACCTGCGTGGCATCTCACATGTCCATTTTCATCGTCTTCTAGTATAAGCTTTGCTGCTCATACGCTACTGTGGTCCGTGTAGCCGCGCAAAAGTACGAAAAGCTATGGCTTTCCTAACGCAGATTCAGTAGTCTTTGACGTCGAGTCCAATTAATAATGCGAAGCACACGAATAATCAAATAGCGGGCACCAGGCCAAAACCTGTACCCTTTTCATTGCTCTTTCAGTGTGCTAGATTTCTAGCTGGCTGTTTGGCTCGACGGCAAATCTGTCGCGTAGTCCACGTGGGACCGCTTAAAGTTCTCCGCCCACATCTTTTCAAAGAGCTCTCGCTCGTGTTGCGGCTGTGGTGGACGAAGTTCCTTCGGGAGCTGTGCAGCTGGGCGAAATGCCACGGAGTCCATAGGTCGCGCGTTTACCTTGCCCAGATAGCCGCCAAGAAAGTTAATCAGCACAGTTGGCTCGTTCGATTCGTACATGAGCTCGCGGATGAAATTTTCAAGAGTGATGCACTTTTGGTGCAAATACGATGGTTCCAGCCGATTGAACCAGCGCGTCTCGATGCCTGCCCAAGCGTCTTGTGTCCGCGTGTAGCGCTTTTCATCAAGCGTCTTCACTAGCTCCCCGAACTCCGAGTACCGACGCCAGTCTGCGTAAAGCTCCTTGCCGAGCATAAGGGTAATTAAATACTGCGCGTGACGATCAGCACCCGAGCGCGACTGCACAATCCGAAACTTGGGGATGGATACTGTAGCAGAGACAACCTTGCCATTGCCTTCTGTGACGATTGTAAATGTTTTGTGTGCTGCCGTAATACGTGTGTTTGTCTGTTCGTCACCTAGGACATGAACGTTGCCTACGTCTATGAGTCCCAAATCAGCACTCAATCGACGACGTAGCGAGTGAATGGAACCATCGCCGCCCCAGCTCTCGCTACTCGAGTCAATGTCTGCGAACCAGCCCCACTCGGCGCTGCCTTCTCTACTCATCAGGGAAGACGATCGGATGCGCGACGGCGGACCACCTTTTCGCCAGGGATAGCAGAAACATTAGCAACAACGACAACAACCATGCAACACCGACGTCCCATCGACAAGATACGAAATCACAACAGTCAGTTCCTTCGTCCGTCTCGTCAATTCAAGCACAGCAGACATTCAAGCAGACGGTTCCGTACCTCGAGGAGACGCAAAGTGCGCATGAGCGCGCATGAGCTCTGACTTTACAGTGCGCTGATCGCATGTGTTCATATAAGTGGCAATGACGTCTACAGCGGGACGGCCGCGGGGCGTGGTGGTCACCATCGTAATGGGCGGAACCGAGTACGAGAGCGACGTGGGGAGCTTATTGGCATGTTCAGGTGACGAGTCAACGGTGTCGGATGTTGCATTGGACACCAGTGAGATGTGGCGGCGCGCGGCCGAGTCAAAGCTGAAGACAGCGCTCGCACTACCGCGGCACTTGACATACGGCAACGACCTCACCGTGAGTTGAGAAGAAGGGCCGTTGTCATCTTTCACGATATCAAAGACGTCAGCGATCTCTGCTGCATCACCGTCACTGTCGTCGCATTGGCGGAGACTCGCTTTGACGTTCGAGTCGGTCATCATAACAGTAGAACGGCTCATCAGGCGAACGAGGCGTTCACGTACGTCGTTGGGGGCGTTGAGCTCGTGGAAGCGTAGTACCGCGTACGGAGCCACCGGCTGCGGCCGAGTCTGCAGACAGAAGAAGGCCTGGCCAATGGTGTTGTTCAGTCGCTGTTTCTTGCTCGCTCTTGTCAGCGGCAAGTGTAGGCGAACAGTGAAGACTGTCGCCGTTCGCTACAGTGCAAGTCAGCTGGAGACTGACAAATTGCGTAGACTGGACACGAGACAACGTTAGACGATTGGCGCTACCGCTGTTAAAACTGGCGTGTCGGATGAATAAGGCAACACGTACGACGTGCTGCAATCGATCGCTGCTGTGTGAGATCGGAACCGACGCGGGAGAGAGAGCGAGAGTGATCGCGACGTTGAAGAAGCGTAGCAGTAGCGTTTCTTTTTCAGATCTTTTTACTCGGGACTATTTTCAGACTGCAAGTCGAAACGGTTACCATACCTGTTATAAGCTTAAAGTAAATTGATTGATCGGCTTCGATTTGTGATTCTTTTCAAAGTCATTTAAGACGGATGTCAACCATCCTGAAATATCAGCAATCATCAGTCACTTCCTGTGACGATGACTGCTAGCGTACTAAAGTCAAGACGCTTAAACCAGACGAATTTCAGGTGCATCGTCAATTGAAGCAGCCTTTCAGCTCCTTTCAAGCTGCAAGATGCTGCTGCATCAGCATACAGCCGACTCCTTTGTCGACAACGAAGACATTGCGAGAGACGACAACGAAGACATGGCGAGAGATGTGCCGATATTGGAACGGCTATAATTACAGCAAGACACGCGCAACGCATCCCACGTTGTGGTGCGTAGTGCCCATTGACGCCGAAGCAGCTGAGTGATGAGGTTATTAAGCGCGCGTCGAAATGGACTGTGCGTGAAGAGCACCATGATGACGCTGGATCGGTCCGTCGGTCGTACATGATATAAGTACGCTCAAGGCGTTACACGCTTTGCCCTTTGGGTTTCTGTTAACTTAGCCATGACGTAGTTTGTGACGGCCAAATTATGAAGAATGGTGTGGCGGCACTTTGCATCAAGATAGCGCGTATTCTACTGTGCTTGCGTTCCTGAAGCAAGCAACTCATCGTGCCAGCCGGGCAAAGGCACGTCGAGGGTTTTGCAACGCCAAGTAGTAGATGCCGTACGCGCCTATATTAACAGTGGGACGGATGCTCGAACGGCGTTCCAAGACGCAGTATAAAACATCCATTTTCTTTATTGTTGGCGCCTGTCGTCGTCGAAGATAGTAAACTTCGCAACGACAAAGCGAGAGAAACTTTTACAGGTTGAGAAGGGCACAAGCTTTGGTTGAAAAGACTACAAAATAAATTCCTGCAGTGAAAAAAAGTTGTAAGATATGAAAGCCGCGACTTGTCAGGCCTCCAGGGGAGCACATTTTGCAAGCAAAATGAGGAGGGGAAAGCTGACTATCGCAAATGATGTATCACTTTTTGCAACATAAAGACGTTTCACACAGCTAGCCGTATGAAGAGGTGACATGTTATCATTGCACCTCTACCTATGTTTCGATACGCAACATGAAGAGAAATAGTTACCTACTAAATTGAGGTAGATCTGCGTTTTTTGTTTGACTGAACTGTCTCCAAGCGCTCTGCTAACAGATTAAAGATTATTGTCATGTTAAAAACTTGAGCAGTTTCCGACAACTAGGGCTTCATAGGCTGACCAAGACGGTTTGTCGCCCATCTCATTGAACTGGGGAGAAATGGACCAAGCGAAAGATGCCTCGGGTGCAAAGTAGTTTTTTGCATCACGGATAATACAACTCTTTGATATCAACTTCAGATACGTTTCGAGTATTTCTGGATGAAAATCGTTTGTTTTAACGAGAGGATATAGAGATGAATATGCTAGCTTTGGAGTGATTCGACCGCGTTTAACTGAAGATGACGTTGATCCAATTTAATTGGAGTCAGCCCACGGCGATAGGTCTTTCCTTTACGAAAACCAGTCGATTTATGACAGGCAGTTGGTCGACCGATAGCAAGCCAATGGACTTGTCGGATATTTTCGAATCAAAGCAACAAAAGTGACGCGATCTGGTTCAGTTCAGTGTTGAAACATGTTGTTGCAGAATAATGCAGTAGGCAAGTTTACATCTGTCATTTATTGACAAGACAAGATCGAGTCTTTTTACAATCCTGTGTGCAACAAATGGCTACTGCGACTTCTTCTTAGGAAAAGTTTTGGTAGCTTTGGAGCTGCATATCTTATGCTGATACACAGTCAAGTCCGGGATGTGCGAAACATCGCGCACATAAAAGAATTTTGCGAGACGCCACTCGGCCACCAATGGGAATAACCACGGCGAGACCTGTTCACTTCCAACAATACCACATTTATACGTCATATAATTGTAACTAGCTGAGAACTATCTTACCGTCGCGATCAGAGCGTACCAGACAACCCCAGTAAGCCCACCAACAGCCGCGCCGACCGCCACTTGGTCCGTGGAGTGGTAATTCAAGTGGATGCGCGAGTAGCATGTCAAAACTGTAATTGCAATCGCGCCTATGATAGTGAGCCACTGTTCCAAGCGTCTATGCGAGTTTAACCTGTGTCATAACAGCGACCAGCGTGTCATTATTTGCCAGTTTGAGGCAAGTATTACGGCACAAGGCATAAGCTTTTGAACCTCTTCCACGTGTAAATCACCATGTAAGCTGCGAAGAAGCTAATGAACTGGGAATGTGCTGATGGCATCCCCGGTCCGCTCATGAACGCGCCTACCGGTCGCGGCTGGTTGATGTGTTTCTTGAGTACTTTATTGAGCAGGACGCTCACAAGCTATCAGGACCAGCTAGTCAGATCCCCACATGATATTGAATTATGTTCCAAGTATATGTCTTGCCTGTCCCACGAGCATACTGATGCTGTCCAAGTCTCTTTGCGTGGCAACGAGTGTGACGTACACGATCATCAGGAAGCTGCAATAGTAAAGGTCAGACAGAGCTTGCAATACAAATAACAACAGTAAACGCACACAGGAGAGAGTGTACAGAGTGCTAGCATAGCACCTAGCGGATCTGTTGGGTCATACACGACCCACGTGAGCTCAAAGTCCTGCATGCGCTTGATCTCTTCTATCATTGACGGCATGATAATACTATCCATTTGACGAGTCATTATTATAGAATTCACTATAGTGACACTTTTGCTTCCTGGCCATGAGTGCTCAAGCTACGCGACTTGAAAGTCTTTTCCTGCTTGTACAAGGTGAGTAAATGGTCCCTATGAGAGATCTAATGGAGGTAACTAGTTTGTATAGTGTAGCTAATTATATACTCATTTGATTCAATAGACGGAAATAGCGCACAGATTCGAAACAATGCGGCGGAAAAATTGGGGGAAGCCGCTGCGTGCTCTCCCGAGTCCTGCGTCTCTATCTTGGAGCAGTTGAGACCACTAATTGTGCACAAAGAGTGGGACATCCGTGTGGCTGCCTCCAAATGCCTTGATGTAGTGGCTCGCTCTTTGCGGAACGAAGACGAGAACGTTGCGGATCTCTTTGCAATGACTTCCCGTGTGTATTTTCTGCTGCTGGATGCAGTAAAACTTTTAGTTCAATAGCTGATAATATACTTAATTACTGCTGCAGTTGGAAGTCAAGAGGCTTCAAGTGTAGCGCTCAATCTACAGACGGTGGACATAAACAAAGTGGTACAGGAGGGGGCGCCGCTACTGCGCAGCGGAGGAGAGGTGAGTTGTTTACCGAATTTGTGCTTTGAACTCTCTGACCCGGTGTTTGTGGATGTGACAGGAGTATCGATACAGTACGAACTTAACAGAGGAGGAGCGACAGGATCATGCCATAAAGCAGCGGCGTCTCCTACTGAGACGCCTTAGCGGAGCTGGAGGACCGATTTGGAAAACGCGCGAAGACTCACTGACCAAACAGCTGCTCCCCCGACTCAATCGAAGCCGTAAGTGAGGTTTGCATGAGGATAAACGGTTGTGTACTGATTCGTGTGTGGCTTTGACTGTCTCAGATGCACAGGAAATTGCCGATGACATAGAGGCAAGTGAAGCGCAGCTAAATATAGGTGATGAGCCTGTTACACCTCGTAAGAAAGCGAGCGAGATGTTATCTGTTTCTCAAAGCTTCAAACGTCGTTTGAATAATTTCGCGGGGTTAAGGAGTGGTGGCAAACGGATAAAAAGTGATCGTGATGGTAGAGCCGAGGATGTGATTATGAATTATGCAATTGAAAATGATCCTGATTGCTGGGCTGACGAGGCAGCGACGCTAACTAAGGCAAAAACTGTTGCAAGCTTGGTCTCCGATCTGTTTGACAGTATGTTTGATTCGAAATGGGAAGTTCGTCATGGTGCACTTTTGTCCTTGCGGCAAATCCTCCTATTGACCCACTTTACTGCTGCCGTTGAAGCAGTCAGGCCAGTGAAAGACGAGAGTGCGAAGCGAAGTTTTGTCGACAAATGGCTGGAAGAGTGCTTGATTCGTTGCATTTGTGTATTAGCGCTGGATCAATTTGTAGACTACTCGGCTGACGGATCCGTTTCTCCTGTTCGCGAAGTTTGCGCACAAGTCTTTGGTATTTTGCTCGGCAGTCTTGGCAATGAAGATTTGCTGGTCGGATATCTGCAAGTAGTGCGTACGTTATTTAGTGGGTCGACGTGGCAAGCTTGCCACGGTGGGCTATTGGGGCTGAAGTATCTTGTCCAAGCTCACAGTAGTCATGCCCAAGCACTACTTCCTCTCTTTTTTAACGATATTGTGACTGTGTTTTCCCAAGCCGACTCAGAGGAGGACGTGCTGACTCTCGCCGCAGATATGTGTAAGGGGTTTGTCTCGTACTTGCATCGGGTTGAAGCAACTGCTATCATAAAGGCTGCTCTATTATTATGGACGTCTTTAAAACATCATAAGAAAGATGGTTTCGTTACGGCGAGCATAGTTGAAGCGTTAAGTGCGTGGCACAATCACAACCCGGTCGCAACGCAGTTGCACAGTGACAAAAGAGTTAGGGCAGCAATTTGGCAGAATTTATCGTATACAATTCCAATGCTCCATCACCATTCGCAGTCCATTCGAGCATCTAGCGCAGCTTGCGCTGCAACCATTTTTTCGAGTGAATCGTCTTTGAAGTCAAGTCCAGTTGGCTTTGCTCGATCTTTTTTGCCACATCTGGTGTTTCAAGTGCTTTTGGAGAAAAACGAGGCTGTCCAGCAAAGCTTGCTTGCCGCATGGAAACAAGTAGTAAGCAGCTTGTCGAAAGAAGGTATGCTAATGGACGTTGTAGCTGAACATTTGCCAATTTGGGTGCAGCTTTTGTGGTCAACGGATGAGATGAAAAACCTAAATGTTGGGCTAGTAACCTCGGTCGGTACGGTACCTAGTACCGATGAGAGCGATATCGCGGATCGAGCGGCACGTAAAAATGTGCCCTCTCGTGTAGTATTAGCCGAGGCGATTGGATTTGTTGTTGCTCACGTCCCTCTTTCTAGTGCGTGTATGGCTGAGATGGTCCAGTTATTCCGCGATGGTGTGTGCGGTGTCTCTGGCGAGCGACAGTGTGGCGTTTTGCTAGCGCTGTCAAAATGGGGTCTTTTTGAGAAGCAACTCAAACGCGAAATTTCGCTAGAGCAGTCACGTCGACTGCAGCATTTGCAGACATCAGTTGGATCTTTAATCGAATTGTTTGCAGAAAATGAATGGAGGACACTGCAGCCGGACGCACCGAATGGAGAGACACCATCATTCTATAGCGAACAGCTTGGATCATTAAAACGCGTCGTGCAGATGGAAGCGCGAATTATCGAGATCTTTTCATCCGTAGGTATCACACTTCAGCCCACACAAAGCCGAGGCTTGGTATCAGCAGCAGACATTTCACGACAGATCGCAGAACACATTGCTCTTTTTCCTTACGATAAATTGCGAGAACACCCAAAAGAATTTGAACTGGCTCATTTTAAACGGCAAGACCTTTTTCTAGTGGACGAGCTCGTTCAACAAAGTTTTGCTCGTTTTTATCACCGGGTACAAGGTCTTGGGAGCAGCGCTTATTACGAACTACTGCCGGTTCCCAAAAAGAGCGGGTTTCTAGTCAAAGCACTGATGAACTCGATCAAGGAAGAAGAAGATCTCGCATTTCGCTCTATATCATCGCGAACAATAGCGGACTTTGTGATAGGTCAGGCAAACACTCAAAAGAAGTGTGTCACAAAGATCATTTCTAATCTTTGCAATAATGCCGCGGCGTTGGTAGGTGTATTGGGGATATCTACGAGTGAAGATAGTAACTCGCAGAATACCTACAATCGTTCAATTGCTCCAGAACTTTGCAAGAAGATGAAAGTTCGAGTAGTCGGAGCTGAAAGTACGCTGCGTGAAATTTGCAATTGTGGTGGTGATTCTCTTTTCAATGTGTGTCATGCTTTGGAGGATGTAATTTCCAAGGCGTGGGACCAGCACAATGTAGTTGAACTCACAATTCAACGATGCATGCACTTAATCATTTTGGTGGTTCCTAACGTTAAAGGCGGCGCAATGGCGACTTGCTTAACCTGGCTTAATGGACTTGCTCGATTGACACAGCAGCCGTATGAAGATCAGCAAACACGGCGTGCCGCTGCTCATGCTGTTGCTACCATTAGCAAATACGCGAAAGGGCAGCATCGCGAAGATGCAATGCTTGTTGTGTACAATTCAATCTTTGCGGTATTTACAAACGCTGGTCATGCAGATATTTATTCGAAAAATGAAGCATTAGAAGGCGCAGTCATGGTGCTCGCCTGCATCGTTCACGCTCTTGGAGCGGATTTGGCGCCATATGTACCCAGCCTCGTTCACTATGCAACAAAGGCCATGAGTTCACAGTTCAAACATGTTCGCACGTATGCAGCTGGGGCATTTGCTGATTTAGTTCCGTTGATTCCGCTTCAAATGGATCTTGATCTTCGGGAATCCGACCAGCTACTTCCCGACTCATTGAAAACGATTGTGAAGCAGAATGCTGTTTCACGTAGCTTCTTGGAGAGCTTCGCAGAAGGTAAGGCTGTTCAGCATGCTGATGTCAAGCCTTTGCTTTCTCCAGAAACATCGTTGCGCTTGTATCAACAGCATGGCGTGGATTGGCTCTGCTTTATGGCCAAAAACAATCTTCATGGGATTCTCGCTGATGATATGGGTCTAGGCAAGACGTTGCAGACGCTTTTAGCCATGGCCGCAACGTTAGCGACATACGTCACAACCAATAGCAAAAGGACAGCAATGCCTTGCCTCATTGTTTGTCCACCGATTGTCGTTAATCACTGGATGCAGGAAGCCAAGAAATACATCCCAGGGCTTTTCTTATCAATTATCGACTACTCAATCCCTGCATCTGAGAGAAAGGCTCTGAAAAACAGAGATGGTATTCTAATATCAGATCAAGGCCCAACATTGATCATAACAACATATTCGATTTTACGCTCAGATATCGAGTGCTTGGCGAGCATCGACTACACCTTCGTGGTGCTAGACGAAGCACATTTGATTCGTAATCCATCCACAGCATTGTTTCGAGCTGTGCTCGAACTTCGTGCGTCGCATCGCGTTGCTTTGAGTGGAACGCCACTGCAGAATAACGTCTTCGATTTGTGGGCTCTGTTTGAGTTTTTAATGCCCGGGTACTTAGGCGACTTCGCTGCATTTCGCCGCGAGTTTGGCCTTCCTATCACAAAGTCGAAAAAGCGAGATGCGACGACAAAGCAGAAGGAGCTGGCAGCAATCGCTATTGTGCGGTTGCATCAAAAGGTCTTGCCGTTTATTCTACGACGCACGAAAGATCAGGTGCTGAAGGAGCTTCCTCCGAAAATTATCTCCAATGTGCTTTTGCCCCTGTCTGCATTGCAAAAAGGCCTTTATTCCCTGGCATCGTCGATGGAAACCGAGAGCCCAAGTTTAGCGGCATCTACCAAGCCCATGGCCAAAAACTTGAAAACAAAGCCATTGACGAACGTGCTAACGAATCTCCAGCTACTGCGCAAAATATGTGTACATCCAGCGCTTGTTGCAGATGAAGCAGTTGCTCGAGCCTTAAGCGCAAAGGAGAAGGAAGCTCTTCGGGGATGGAAGTGCTCAGGCAAACTGACCGGGTTGCGTGATCTATTGGTAGAGTGCTGCGATATTGCAGGATGGGATCAAGGAACTCGTCAAGGCTCCGCTTCTGATATCGACAATCTAGATGGTGGCAATATCTCTCCGCATCGGTGTCTGGTGTTTGCTCACTTGCGGCAGACACTAGACCTAACTGAGCAAATGCTACAAGATGCATTGCCTAGAGTTACGTACCGACGCCTCGATGGACAAACACCACGCACAAAACGTGCTGATATTGTACAGCAATTTAACGCTGATCCATCGATTGATATCTTGTTGCTGACAACAGCGGTAGGAGGCTTAGGACTAACGCTCACCGGCGCCGACACCGTAATCTTTATCGAGCATTCTTGGAACCCATTTGTTGATCTGCAGGCAATGGATCGTGCGCATCGTATTGGACAGAAACGAACCGTTCGCGTATTTCGATTGATCATGGAGGAATCGCTCGAAGAACACATACTCAATCTCCAGGAATTCAAAGAGCAAGTCGCATCTACGGTAGTACAAAAGACTGATGCTCAAAGTAGCATGAACGCGAACACAGCAAGTGTCCTCAACTTGCTGCAGGCGTCAACTTCAGCGCTGGCTGCTAAGGAGCTTCGTGAATCAATTGGTGAAACAAAGCCTGGTGCGACTGCACTTCCACGGGGAGCCCAAGAACTTCTTGACCAGATTGGTGAACTATGGGATGAGTCGCAGTACGAATCCTTAGCTTTTCCCAAAGAAGCAGATATGTAACATTTTCAAGCGATAATTTGAAGTTCGAAGAGAGCTACAGGCTCTATTTGAAATGGACATGTCACCATGGTCCAAAGTGCAACAGCGCAACAGCGCAAACATTCTGCCTTACTGAGCGTCGATGAGACTCTCGACGTCAAGTTGTATAATGTCAGCATCGCAGCCCTGTAGCATATAATCACACAGAACGATAGAGAAGTCAATAAAACAGATACGCGCTCAACTACAACCTCAAAACGTACCAAAATCGATGCAACATTAGGATTCGTACGACCACGATCACCGTGTACAAACTCCTTTACGTACGTTCCTGCAGACGTTGTAAGACGTAACAACATATAGTGCTTGTTTAGCACCTCGCACTTGGCAGCATGAATAACCTTCGGCCGAGTCATTTGCGTTCTGCGATGCAGCACGCGGATCGGAGTCTGCTGCTGAATGGTGAGGTCGTGGATTGCATCAATGCTCGCAATAGCCTCAGGTGTTAGAACTCCTTCTGACCACACGACGCAGCTAATTTAAAAAAGAAAAATATTATCGTCAGCTTGTTCAACAGAAACCTTAAGCACGTTAAGAAACATTTAAAAGTACCAATAAGTCTTCTTCTTGGAGTCTGCACCGGCTTGCAGTCCCGCAAAATAATCCTTAGTAGAGCTCTTGACTCGAACAATTTCAACAGCGCCACTGTTTGCATCGTTCACTGCCTTTTGGAGCTTGTCATACTCAGACTGATCCAGGTACGCTTTCTTGGCGTCTACAAAAAAATATCACAAGTTTGGTAAATATTGACAGCCTTACACGATGTCACAACCTTACTCCAGGGAGTACAGTACTGGAACACTAAGTTGTGTCTCACCTAAGATTTCCAAGATAAATGGTCTTCCATTGCCTAGCATGCGCACGTCAATATCTTCACGACCTGCCGTGTGGAACTTGTAGCCTGAACCCTGAAAAAATGGCAGCGCAATTTCGCCAATGCATTCTTCCACAGAGGATTTGCCCATTCGCTCGCCGTCCAAAATCCACGGTGTCTGGCTAATTCCACGCTGGAACTTGAGGTATCGCCCCTGCATGTATACAGAGTCGCGCTCGAACGTGACCACAGCGCGCGGTAACGTTGCAAGTCGAGTGGGTGGACTCATAATAGTCTCGGGCATAACTGAAAGCGTTGCAAGGGCGCGAGAAACTGCACCAAAACCATCAAATACAGGAGGCGGACCACGACCGCGCTTTCGTGTCCCCTCCAGCTGTTGCTGCAAAGGAAAAGCGTGCGTGTAAGTAGAAAGCAACAGATCGGCAGGTGTTCAACTCTATCATGTTACCTTGATGGCCGGAATTTGTCGCACTTCGTCGGCAGATTCATCGTGCCTGATATCAATCAGTACTGCAAACTCGCTCTTTATAGCACATTCAGCATTCATAAACATCCGCGATATGCTTGGAGCTAGCAAGGACTGTCCAATTTAAAGCAAAGATGGTGAGTTCCAGCACCGGTACAGGGCTTCCATCAAGGTCTATCCAACGTCTCCAAACCTTAAGCACATCCTTTACATCGAACGACTTATTGCGCGGAAAGTCGTCTACATCTGAGCGCAAGAAATGTAGGAGCGAGTACTCGCGCAGTAGAACCACACTAGGCAGCTTGATGTTAAGCGAGAACACCTTCATGTCGTAGTCTCCCTTCTCGGCCAATAGTTGCACGTCAGCCAGCATCTTTTCATGAAATGCTTCATTTAAAATTCCCAGACAGCATGTACAGCCTAGTATAACACAGCATTTACAACACGTGAGTAAAATATCAGCACTCCGCCTCACTGACACATCCAATCCACTAACCCAACACTTCCTGCATTTTACATTCTTCGACACCGCTCTCTTTGACAAACATATGCACGGCATCCGCCATTTTCTCTTTCGAGCAGCTTCCAATTCAGAAAACACAGTCAGCAACGGGCAGAAAGATGTAAGTTGTTTAGAAATATGTTAAAATGTCGACATCATAGTGATCGCTTGCCATTTTTGTCATAAACCCACTCACGCATAGACAGCCAGATCATCAATACCAGCAAACCGCAAGCAGCATCGCATGCAGACGCCCAATTCGCGGGCGCGAAGCAGCGCTACGGCAGACAGCGCACCAGCTCGCAGTGCTATCAGGAGCTCCATAACGATGGTGCACCAGTCAATCCATTGACATTTAATTCTGCTCAGCGATTAGTCAAAATAAAATATGTTTTGACCAATAGATTACATGATATACTGTTTTTTCTACCAATTGTCGAGGTGAAGTGCTCAACATATAAAATTTCTGTTACACTACAGCCCCGGCTCTCTTGCAGTCGACGATCGACGTTGTACGACTCACGACGTAAGGGAAACGCCGAAGCGGTATCAGTAGCTCACTTTGCGCGGCAAGCATAGAGAGCGAACAACGACCATGCCGAGCTTTTGTCCCAAGTACGTTGTCTTCACTTGGTAAATTCTTGGTCGGGAGCAGCTTTTAGTTTTAACATGTTTTGTGTCTTTTTTTGGTTGTGATAGATGCGGGGACTATGTGGAGGAAGATGCGTGCAAGAAGTGCGGTGAGATAGCGGTACGGATAGTTGTTAACAGGAATGAAGCGAAGAAGAAGACGTTGTACTGACTGATCGATGGCTGACGGTAGGTAACAGCCAAGGAGAACCCATGGAAGACAGCAGCCATGGTGCCCGGAGGCGACCAGATGAGCGTCCCAGCGTTGCCCACAGCTTTTACTGCAGCTGCACGCATTCAGATGATAGGGTGCGTCCATTTAAAGAGGAGAGGTGTGAAGATTGACGTGTTGATTCGGTTCGTCGGTTGTTTGTTTTGTCGTATTTACCGCAGGGTGCAGCCCGTATTGGAGCCCGCTCGCAAGGAGAAAGCGGAGGCGCGCTTTAATTTTGTGCCGCAAGACTCGAGCACACAGTTGGCGCTGTCGAAGGGTGACGAGGTAGACGTCGTGCGCAAAGATAGCGACGGCTGGTGGTTTGTCATTAAGGACGGCGAGAAGGGCCTCGTGCCAGGCTCGTACCTGCACATTGAGAACCCTATCGTCCCCGTCGCAGACGCTGCAATTCTCGCGGCGCGCGAGGCCTCCAACCAGAGATTTATGGAGATACAGCGCAACTCTGGGGCCAGCACGCATGGATCAGAGCCAGGCATGGAATACCAGTCGCTGCTTGGACTAGAAGCGCTCGCGATGGCAGACTCTTGCGCGCCAAAACCACCGAGTGGACCTGTGCGTGCAGATGCAAAGTCGGGTGGCACTGAATTTAAGCCTAAAGAGGTGCGCAAGTTAAGAAAGTGCTACGCTTGCAAGGAGACCATTCTGGGCCGAACGAAAGTATGCAAGGAGCAGATTTTTCATGAGATCTGCCTTCTGTGCAGAGGCTGTCGAGAGTCGATTGAAGAAGACGAAGACTTTACATTGATCAAGAAAAAAGCGTACCATGCTGAGTGTGCTAACGACGTCAACCACTGCTTCGTTTGCGACAAGGAGATCTTGGGCCGAGTGTATCGAGCTGGCGACGGCGCTTTCCACAAGCTCTGTATGGTCTGCTCCGTGTGTAACAAAAAGTCTAAGGAAGCTGGAGCAAAGTTGGTAAACGACCTTTTCGTTTGCGGCGATTGCGTTGCGGAGAAAGAGAGAAAAGAGAAGGAGGAGACAGAAGCTGCGCTTGAACGCGAACGAGCTGCTGCCAAAGCAAAGGCAGAAGAGGAAGCAGCTATTGCTGCTGCAAGGGCGTTAGAGGAAGAGAAGGAACGAATCGCTCAAGAGGCTCAGATAGCTGCCGAAGAGGCTGCTCGTGCAAAAGCCATTGCAGAAGCAGAAATAAAAGCAGCAGAGGCTAAGATGTTACAAAGTGGCGCTGTTTGTGTTTCGAATGGCAATAGTCGGTTTGGAATTGATAGCCTTCGATCCAGTACGTCGAATCTTGACCAGTTTGATTTGGAGGCTACACCTCTTGACATGTCAGGGCATAACAGCCGGATATCTGAAGCATCAGATTTGGACTCGATTCTTAGTGACGGTGATTATGCTGGATACATGGGAACCGGCCAAAGGGAATCGCTGCGCTTGTCGGAAGTGCTTGACCTTGAGTCTTACAAAGATGATCGTTTGTCCGACATGAGCGGTATCTTAGAAGGAGCTGCCGAACGGACGAAGCCGCGGCACTCAACAACGATTGAAGGAATAATGAATGAAAACGAAGAAGTCTTTTTGGAAGATGAGGACGACCGAGAGCTGTGTGGCGGTTGCAAGCTTGTACTAGAAGGAGAAGCTGTTGGTGCTCTGAACCAGTACTTTCACTACGAGGTGCGTTTGCGGGTATTGTGGAGTGCGCAACATGCAATGTGTGCTAACGACGAACTAACTTGATGTCATTTGTGGTCTACAGTGCTTCAAATGCAGCCACTGCAGTCGTGTTATCGCTGAAGACGATGGTTACGCCGAGAAAAACAACCAGGTATGGCTTGCTTTCTTGCGTTGTGTAGTGACATAGCCTTAGCTAATAAGTCGGTATGACTCCAGGCGTTCCACCAAGCTTGCTACCAGGTTCGCTTCGGCAAGATGTGCCATCGATGCGACAAGGTCCTTAGGGGGAAAGTGGTTAAGGCTCTCGATCATCTTTACCACCCCGATTGCTTTGTGTGCTTCCAGTGCAGCGCTTCCCTATCAGGTACGCATAGAGATTTCCGCTAACTGGGTAAATGATACTAATTCTGATAGTGTCTTATCGTCCAATAGAAAGTTTTTTTGAGCACGTAAGCCAAGCGGTTTGCGCTAAGTGCAAGCACGAAGCGATTGTGTTAGATGAACTTAGCCTTCCGTACGTATGGTATGAATGACCTAGAAACTTTATTTCGATTGACTAATATGGTTTTTGCTATCTGAAACCCAACAGAGAGACAATGACTCCCGTGTCCAAGGCTATTGCTGGCTATCGGTTCGACGCCCAGGATGACACACAATTGACTATTTATCCGGGCGACGAGGTTGCTATTTTTCAGAAGGTACGTTTATCGCGAGGCTTGTGTATTTTGTGTGCTCTAACGATGATCTCATGTGCGTGACAGGACGACGATGGCTGGTGGCTGGTGGAATTGAGAAGCAAGCGTGGCTACGTGCCAGGTTCATATTTGATTGAGCGTCCTATTGAAGAACAGCATAAGAGTAGAGTCTGCAAGGCGGGTCTTTGCAGCTCGTGCTCAACGCAAAATCCAGCAGAGGCACGCTTTTGCCGAAGCTGTGGCAACAATCTCAAAGCCTAACTGGCGTATGCGTACGAGAAAGTGACAAGCAAGAGTTGTTCATAGAAAAAGTACGGGGCATATTGATAGACTTCGATGCTTTTGGGACTGTCCGCCATCCCCGTTCCGTTCTCACTGTGGGTGCTGAGGTACTTCAACTGTCAATTTAGCGTCCCATATTTTTTAACTACCTACTCGCTTTCAGTGGAAAGTTGAATCGTGCTCACTTGTGCATTTTTCTTCGACTTCTCATGTGGACCAAAGGACTAACTTACTCGACTCCTGCGTTGCAGTCTTCTGCTGTGGCGCTGCTTGGCCGTGGATGCTTGCGCGGAGTGCATTCCCGCCGCAGCATTCGTATGTGGGACCGGGTACAGCCGTCGCTCTGGCATCCTTTGGCGTCACTGGAGCAGTCGCTCATGGACGTAGAAGTGATGGCTCAACGAGTGTTCTCGCCTCGCTTCCCACCGTTTGCGCCGTTTGCGCCCGACACGTTGCCGAAACTACATCATGACGACAAAGAGTTTTTCAAGGACCTGCCAATCAAGAGACCAGAAGAAGTGACGAAAGCGACGCTAAAAGCTGCGGCGCCAGAGTATAGTGCGTCCGAGAAGAAGGGGGTCGACGCTGCCCTTGACACGAACGAGTCGTCAACTGGCGCCGAGGGCACTATACCTCACCCGTCATTCACGTCATACTCGTACACGTACTCGACCGTGCTAGACCATAGTGGTCACCGTATCGGGACATCTCGTCGACGTTACGAGGACTCGACGGGGCGTTTGAAGGCCACCCACGAGCGCGAGATTGATGGCAAGAATTTAAAGACGGTGTGGCAGCGTTCCAATACTCAAGACGAGGGCGGGCATGAGACGGTCTGCTCAAGCGGTAGCCCGGACGAGTTTGAAAAGGAGTGGCTTGTGACACCATTCGGCCGTGCCGAGGACGAGGAGCTGGCTAAGTGGATGGAAGAACGAGAGCGTGGTGTGTACAAAGCTTTTGGCATTGAGTACAATTCCGATGAACCGAAGCAAAATGAGATGACGAATGAAGAGCGCAAAGTGGTGGAGGAAGTTGGCACAGAGCGAAAGGAGAAGATTCAGGAAATGTCGAAGCGGCAGGAAGAGGAGACGACTTCTCCGGAGTATACGTCGTAAAAGTGGCAGCGACTAAAGTGAATGTGACTACCTGGTAGCTTAGTGTTTTTCGATTCTGTCACTACACATTTTACCAACTTCACAATGAATATTGATGTTTCAAAGCAAATTTATTTTTTGCTGTCAATTTTGCTTGATTACCGGTGCAATACTGATAAATCGACTAAAGCATCCATCCATTACAATCAAGCCCTCGGCTTAAAACATGGACGATGGGTCCGACGAGCTACTTCTCAAGCCGACGTCCAATGATATGTCTTTGCAGCTCGATGGCTTTGATGCGGATGCGGCCACGGGCGATTCTAAGCGCTGGCTGCAGAGTCTGGAGAAGTGCATCCGCGCTATCGTGAGCATTCGACTGCTTAGTGTGCGGGCGTTTGATGGCAATGGTGCCAGTTTTAGCGTAGCTACAGGATTTGTGGTGGACATGAAGCGAGGATTAATCCTCACGAACCGCCACGTGGTGACGCCCGGTCCTGTGGTTGCTGATGCCATCTTTCTTAATAAAGAGGAGGTGGATCTCGTGCCTGTGTATCGAGATCCCGTGCACGACTTTGGCTTTTTCCGCTTTGATCCGAGCAAGGTCAAATTTCTGCAGCTGCATGAGATTCCACTACGACCCGAAGCTGCCAAGATTGGCGTCGAGATCCGTGTCGTGGGCAATGATGCAGGGGAGAAACTGTCCATCTTGCCGGGTATCTTGGCCAAGCTGGATCGAGATGCGCCATCCTATGGCTCCAGCACGTACAATGACTTTAACACGTTTTACTTCGCAGCGGCCAGTAGCACAAGTGGAGGCTCCAGTGGATCTCCCGTGCTGAATATTGACGGATGCGCTATCGCACTGAACGCTGGAGGAGCCAAAAAGGCGGCATCATCTTTTTACCTGCCACTGGATCGCATTGTACGGGTGCTCGGACTAATTCAACAAGGCAAACCGGTGCCGCGTGGAACCATCCAGACGATTTTCCGTCACACAGCGTTCGATGAGGTGCGGCGACTTGGGTTGTCAGGCGAAACAGAGGCTATGGTGCGCCAACAATTCCCGCAGGAGACAGGTATGATGGTGGTGGACCAGGTCATCCAAGGAGGGCCAGCGCATGACCATCTGCGTACAGGAGACGTGCTTATTAAGTTTGCGGGAAAGTACGGCGCAACGTTTTTGACCATTGAAGAGTTGTTGGATTCTCACGTTGCTGAGACTGTAAACGCGCAGTTCCAGCGCGGAAACGAGCAGTACACAGCCACACTGAACATTCAGGACTTACATGCTATTACGCCTGACAGGTACTTGGAAATTGGCGGTGGCATTGTGCATGCACTGTCCTACCAACAAGCTCGCAACGCTTCGCTACCGGTGGGTGGCGTGTATCTAGCCCAAGCAGGCCACATGTTCATGAAGGCACATCTGGCCCAGCCCTGTATCATAACATCCGTGGCAGGACAGCCCACCCCTACGCTAGATGACTTCGCGAACGTCATGGCCTCGCTTCCTAACGGTTTTCGAACGGTTTTGCGGTACTTCATGATCCGCGATCGGCACCGTGTCCGCACAGCCTTCATTATGATGGATCGTCAATGGTTTCCGATGCAGATGTGCACACGTAACGACGAGGACGGGTTGTGGTATCCAAAAGCATACATCCAGGATGCAATAAACGGAGATAAAGCACTCGGAAATATTGCAAATTTCGAAAGCCCAACTTTTTCTCCAGCGCCGTTGAGTTTTCCCGGAGGAAACGCGCTGGGCAAGAAGACGCTGCTGTCACTTGTGATGGTATCTTTTGACATCCCTTACATGGTTGATGGTATTTCGAGCTCAAGCTACCATGGGATGGGAGTCGTGGTGCATGCCGCGCAAGGTTTTGTGCTCGTAGATCAGAACACGGTTCCCATTGCATTGGGTGATGTGTTGATTACAATCGCAGCTACCGTTGAGGTTCCCGCTAAGGTGGTTTTTGTGCACCCAGTTCACAACTTCTCCATTGTACAATATGATCCCAAGACGCTAGGCTCTGTAGCCAGCCATATTGAGAGTGTTGTGCTGGCCGAGAAACCGCTTGAAGTTGGTGAGACTGCCGACTACGTCGGATTGAGCAGCAATTGGACCGTCGTTACTATAAAAGCTGTCGTTACTAAGCTCGACCGTCTTGTGTTGCGCGACTTCCAGCCACCACGATACAAGGCATGCAATATTGAAGTACTGCACTTTGATCGTATCACAAAGTCTGTGGGCGGTGTCTTCATTGATAGTGCAGGCGCTGTGAATGCAATTTGGCTGTCCTTTAGCTACCAAGACAATGCTGGTCGCAAAGAGGTTTTTCGTGGACTACCGGTCAGCATTTTTCGACCCATCATTGCCGAGCTGCGAGCGTCTCGCATCCCGGCGTCATTGAATATTTTGCCGGCGCAACTGCTGACTTACTCTCTGTCGAAGGCACGCTCTGGTCTTGGACTTTCTGATGGATGGATACAGAAGCTCGAGTCCTGCTACGAGGACAAGCGCCAGGTACTTGGAATCAAGCGATGTGCTGCTGGCACGGACTGCGCCAAAAAGTTTGAAAGCGGCGACTTGCTTCTAGCCATTGATGGACGAGTTGTCGTGCGGGATGCAGATGTAGAAGATGCAGTGGACGGCAAAACGAATATAGTTGCTGTGATTGTGCGCGAGCAGAAGGAAATGGAGGTGACTGTAAGCACGTCTCAGCTGTCGGCAATGGGCACTAATCGTGTAATCGTCTGGTGTGGTCTCGTCATCCAGAACCCCCACTATGCGGTAGCAAGCTTAGGCTACATTCCAGAGGAAGGCGGTGGCGTATATTGCTCACGGTGGTGCTATGGATCTCCCGCGCATAAGTACGGATTGCGAGCAACTATATGGCTTGTGGAAGTTAACGGTAAGCCGACACGCACACTAGATGACTTCTTGGGGGTGGTCGGACGTTTTGGTAATCGCGAATCTGTGCGCTTAAAGACAATTTCCATTAACACGAAGCCAAAGGTGTTTACCTTGAAGACAGACTACCACTACTGGCCAACAATCGAGCTGCATCGAGATGGATGGGATTGGAAATATGTAAAGCATTCAGTCCAAAATACCCCCACGCAGTAGTAATGACTCAAATTCAGATCAATGCATCAAAATTGATATACTCGTCACACATTAACATCTTTTCAAATAGTTAAAGTACATGCTTCTTTACAAAGTCTTCTAAATAAAATCGGTAAGAGTCAAAGTCGAAGAATTTCGACAGCACCGTCATCTTGATGCTTCAATGTTGAGGTCGAGACCTCAAAGCACAGAAAGCAGAGACATTTAGAACAGCTAAATATACTTTAAGTGTGTTGACGAACAATGCTAGCAAAGTTCGCGGTAGTTCCGAATTCAAAGTAAAATATTTCGTGCATACAGTAACACGCAGCGTGTCAATCACAATACCACTGTACCTCCACGCATCATCGCCCTCACCAATGTCTCAAAACAATACATGATTGTAAAACCATGAAGACGTGGTTTATAACGAAATGATAAGACCACCGGAGAGACAAGATCATATAGCCGTTGCTGCAGCAGCACCGCTGGCTTTTGTGATCATAGCATGCTTGTGCAACTACACGTGCATATCAGTTTGCAAACACCGGTGGTACACACGCCATTCAATATTGATTAAGTGATGCGGTGTGCCCGCAAAATCAAAGATGGGTGTAAGCCGCATAATTTTTGCAATCTTAAATGAAAAACATAATGCACGCCCTGTACTGGTATTGTTTAGAGCCAAAGCAATAGCTTTAGGTCTTGGCAACATCATTGCCAATAAGAAACTAGTACCGTACTGTCTAGCTAGCCAGCGAAAGGCTTTTGTTCTTTTCTTTCTTACCTCTCACTTTTAACAATCTTCAACACCGGTTTCTTCGCAGCAACCTACAATATCCTGCGTTCACCAAGCAATCGCATTTCGTAAATCCTAATACTGTCGTAAATGCCTGACCGACGTACGTGACACACCTACCTGATTGCAACAATGTGTCTGATGTCGCGCAGCCTTTGGTGGTTGTGGGTCTTCGGCTTCTGCCTTCTAAGCGCTGGCACAGAGTGGACGACGATCTTTGCCGCCAGAATGGGGGCTAATAGTTGACCAACGAGTTTCCTTGTAGATGCGAACCGAAAGTCGGTTCAAGATATTTATGTTGCTGTAACCATAGCGTGTCAAGCTATTGATGACGTAGACGAAGCTACTTGTGCGGACACCACATTACAGTTTATCAATCACTTATTACTTGGTCGGTCGTTAATTTTCACCGTAATGGTCTGTGTAAGCCGAGTTCAGCCTTTCATACGCGTGGAGCATCCTTCATTTTACGCAGATTATAACGATAAAGTTTTCTTATAGACTGTAGAGGATCACGAATTACGTCAGTGATGTGTGTGTCGTGAAAAGGACAACTTGCATGGACAGTGTTCTTCGAATGTCTGGATTGTGTGATCAGTTTATGAAGGGTTTTATACATTCGTTTTAGTAGTAGTTTAACTCAAGATACTACTTTCATTTGGCAGCACAGTGAAGTAGTTGAGCTATCCTTACAAAGACCGCTCTAAAAGTAAAGTAACATGAGGGCTGTGTGCTCACAAGCTTGAGTATAAAGCGTCAGCTTATAAGTTGCTTCTTACGAAACCTGTCTAGTACTGCGCGTCGGTGCGCACCCGGTCATTGCTTCTCTTGTAGCAAGCATTAAGCTATTCGTGCTACTCATGTAAGTCCATCGCTGACTATACGTCAAAAAGCTTCTGATATATGCCCAATAGTTTAGCTTGCCTAACGAGATAGCCCGAATGTATTAACGTAGGATACAAACCATGCATAGATAGTGGCCGGGTTTATGCTATACTAGGTTATACGATCAAGCGGGCCGCGATTGAGCTCGTAGTCGTCGACGTCAGATTCGTAATACCAGAAAGACAGCCGACAGCGGCCTACTGAAAATGTCCGACGTGACGATGCATCATTCGGGTGCGAGACGCCGTCTGTCCAACGGTGCTCGAGCCCTGAACCTATTCGAAACATAGGTTGGTTACCCAATTCTTGGTAAGTCTGGTCATCAGCGTTCAAGCCCTGCTAGATCAGGAAATTACGTGGAAGCTACATTGCAGCAGCGTACCGTTCTTGAATGTGTCAAAAACTTCTAGTCATTTTACTTGACACCAACTTGTTGGTAATACAGTACAGGGTATGAATCTTATGATCGTTTCCAGTTTCACTGTACCGACCACTTCTAGCATCAAATCAAAGCGCAGGGATTATGTATGATCCGCTATAAGGCGCGTTGAAAACCTGTTGTCGACTGCGTTGCATGAGGCTTGCCGCTTACGCATTTCCATGATAAACCTCATCCGCAACACTCAGTGCAGCAAGGTTGTTGAGTAATTAATGTTACATCTGTCTATGCTCAATCGAGCAAGACGTATCTGCGTTTTTTAATCAAAAGACCATTTCTGTTGACCTCGCGAGAGCTAAACTCGTTAGAAAAAATTCCATCCTAAAAAAGTTGCGTGGGTAGCACAAAGATTGGTGTCACCATGACAACGAAAGCTATACAGACAGAAATTCAATCTGACGTGGCAGCTTACTCTGTAGATGTCAGCAGCGCGTGAACCTTGTTTGAACGGACCAAGCAAGATGATGTAGGGCTGTGCACATATGACTCAAAGCCAGCTCATCTAACAATTATCCTGTGTTTCAGCTGGAGTTCACGCAGATCTTTCATTATTATCCATAATCCAAGGCTGCATTTACTTTGTTCCAGATAAGTTTGGCATCTGTGAAACGACCTCAGCGTGTCCAGCGTGTTCAGGCTGCTAACAGTTAGAGAAACGGTTTAAGCAACCACTTGACTCGCGACCTCATCCAATTTAGGGTTACATGTCATGGTTGGTACACGATTAAATTACTTATAAGATTCGGAGGTAAGACTGAGGAAAATGACACATCGTTTGAGCCACTACCGCGCAAGCTTTCCTTCATTTAGAATTTTTCTTTGAACTGCAAGCATCTTTTTAGCTTCAGACGCAGACGAAAGCAAAGAACAGTTGCGTCATAGCAGACTAAAATACAACCATGGACCCGCTTACTTTCAGCAACGCGTCATTATACAGCATTGGTGACATTCTGAATCTACCGGCGGCTATGGAATTTTTGGACGATGAAGATTTCGGAAGCACGATGATGATGCTTGAAAATGCAATCGCGTCTTCGCCTACGTCATCTTTTTGTAGAGAAGACCCTAACAGCCTAAACTTGAGCCTGACAGGATTGAGTGATGCCTTCAACGTGCGGGACACGGCTTGCACTGAGCAGCACTTGATTGGTACCGATAAATTGGAACACCCTAATGGCGTTAGCTCTTGCCTTTCGCATGATGAAAAGAACCGAAGCAGCGGTCGTGTTGGTGGCGGCGATGTTTATATCAAGCAGGAGAACAACATGCCCGGCTTGTCGCCAATTATGGACTCCTTTCTGCGCGAGTCTTGGGATGACATCATTAATCCAGGCTCAAAATCTGCCAGTTCAATTGTAATTTCGACTACGCCTGGTCGAATGGACTCGTTGACGCCCCGCTTCTTCCTTCCCAGCCCGTCACCATTAGGAGGACCGCTATTGATGAAGAGCATGCCGATTTTTGCACAAACGTTACCACCAGCGACCCTGCGCATGATCTCCAACACTTCAACCTCTCCAACTGCTGTGTCCACCAAATCGAAAGGGACACGGCGAGCAAAGCAGTGTATTGCTGAAGCGTGTACCCGGCGCGCTCAGTCTAATAATAGATGCAAGACTCACGGTGGTGGCGCACGGTGCCAAATAGAAGGTTGCAACAAAAGTTCACAGGGTGGAGGACTTTGCCGCGCCCACGGAGGTGGCAAAAAGTGCCGAGTACCTGGTTGCTCAAAAGGAACTCAACGTCTTGGTTTATGCTACCTGCACGGTGGGATCCGTCGTTGTATAGCAGAAGGTTGCAAGAAGAAGGACCGTGGAAACGGCTACTGCATCTCGCACGGAGGAGGCCGACGGTGCGAAGCTGATGGATGCAGTCGCTCGGTTCGTAAAGGCAATCACTGTCAGATGCACCAAGTCTTAGCATATGATACTCCGTTTCAGACAAACCGATGCCAGGGACTTTATTCGTAACTGCCTACTCAGGCTTGAAACAACTAGTACGGTACTCGGCGTGTAATTTTTAGGGCTGTATCGATTATTTAGAGTTTAAACAAATTGGTGTGCGGGGACATTATGCCCGTAAATCAAGCTCAATTGATGCCTCAATCCATCTTCAACCTTCGTTGTGGAACACCACGAGCGTCCACAACCCGATATCTTGGCATGAAGAAAAACACATATCAGAGTTATGCTTGATGCCGATGAAATAGCGGTAAATGCAGTCGCACTCATAGCGCTATCCGTCATGTCCTGAACGCAATCGCTGACTCTGTGGCTTCGATAAAGTTTCGTGGCACAATGGCTAAACCACATTCCAGCAGGTTTCTAAATTTGTGACAGTTCCCTGTAGAAGCGGCTTTTTGACGAGACGCGCAACTAGCTTTGACGCAGCCGCTACATATGGAGCCACTACCAGCAGACATTCGCTAAATTTGCGGCTCCTTGTGCTGTAAGTACATTGACAAGGGTTTGTAAAAAGCACAAAATCATGTAAGAACCTCATGGCATCTAAACCAGCCCTCTTTGTTAAATTGCAGTCGTCGGTCGGTGCTCGGAACAATTGAGATGGTAATCAAGCCTCAGGACGCCAGCTAAATGGCACACCTTACAACACGAACATTTTGCTCAAACCATTAGCGACAATTTATAAGTACAGCAACGGTGTCTTATTTTGCAAAAACTGGCCTCCAATCACGGCTGAAAATTGACTGATAAAGGCAACGCAAGTTTGCGCGTTTTCTGCTAGATCTTGCCGACGAGACCCATTTATGGGTACGATGCGCTAAAAATGTTCTGGATAGATGAAACAAGCCTGCTTGCAGGCTTCTTTGACACGAGTGCTGCGTTAGTGGGGGGGGGGGGGGAGCGCTGAAAGTTGGTTGATGCTGTAGATCGCGAGCATGACACAAAATAACGAACTTAGGAAGAAAGCTTTTCATCAACTTTGCCGATCATACGCGTCTTTTTAAGCTAGTCGCAAGAGCGCGGAGATACACTCTGCTGCTTTCCACCAAGTCAGCTTCGCTGAGCAAGGCGCTAGCGTAGACTCTGCCTTTGCCTATGCATAGCTAAGGAAAAGCCCTTTATAAATCTCTTCCTATCCCGCCATGTCTCATTATGCTCCTGCTACTGCAGATCCTAATCCTAGTGAGAAGGATGCAACTGCCTTGGGTCATCATCGCCTACTTTTGGTTAATGGTCTCTTAATTTCCGAGCTGAGGACTCTCCTTACTGCTATGCAGCTGGACCCTCCGATATGGTAGGCCATCCTTCTGACAAAAGTATTCCCGACGTCAGGACGATCTTGTCGGAGAGGTATCTCAATCTCTAGGGGGCACCCATGTCATATCACATGATACGAGTTACGCCCATGGCCACGACGTTTCTTTGAATAAGTGTTCACACGACAGTGGCGAGCATAATGCTCGTTGAGCGAGACCGGGAAAAGTCGATGACCTGAGGCGACTTGGAGCGAGTAGCTTGAAAGGTTCTCGCACTCCGTCGACAAATTATCGAGCAGGAAAAGCGGTATGGGTTGCCCCTTCAATGCTTTCAACGTTAGCTTGGCCATCTTGTTTATGATTTAACAACTTAAAAAGCAGTTGAGAAGGTATTCAAGCCCTTGACAGCATCGACAATCCGTGCATGCCCGAAGCTCATGCAACAAAGAGACATGCATGGGCGCGCATATAGACGATTTTCACTTGACTATCCTTGAGTCACAGCTACTTTCCTTCATGTTGTGGTACTGCACGGGATTAAATCACACGAGTTTAATGATCCGTGAAACCTGCTCACGCACTGTTTCACTCACTCTATTTTTAACTTCACTCACTTTAATACTAGTGTAACGATACACCGCAGTCTACAAGATCATAGCTGAGAAAAAACGCAAGACGCATGTTTGCCGAACTGTTGATGGTATTAGTGAAATCAAATGCTTTTTTTGCGTGGAAATTGGGAGCGCTTGTGGCTGAAATATAAACTTATAGATAGCATCTTGTCATGTCTCACATGGAAGATATATACCCCTGGTTACGCTCTCGGTTACACTCACTGAAATGGCCGCCGGGGGTAAGTCGCAGCGCAAGCGACTGCAGCGACAGCTAGAGTTCTATCTAAGCGAGAGCAATCTTCGCCAAGACAAGTTTTTGCAGCAGGCCATGGACGAGCAGGGCTTCGTGCCTGTGCACGTTCTTCTGTCCTTCAACAAGTGCGTCCATCATTGCGTGCTTACGTGGCATTCCATTTCGTGCTGATTAAGTGGATGTTATCCCCAACTTTAGGTTGAAGATGCTCAAGGCAACCGAACGCATGATTTTGGATGAGGCAGAGAAGTCATCGGCGATTCGCGTCGATCGTCCGCGCTCTTGCATCGCGGCGAAGGTCGTGCCAGCGGGTGACCAAAGTGACGACGCAGGTGCGGCACCTAACGAGCCCATTACCACACAAAAATGCGCCCTAACGATAAACTGTGTCTAATCGTCTGTTACAGACGCCAGAACGATCTATATCGACAGCTTCAGTGCTACGGACGACCACGATTCGCTGCGACGCGTCTTCGCCAAATTTGGCAAGGTGAACCTGGTGAGCTTGCCGAGATTTCCGCAAAGCAAGAAGTTTAAGGGTTTTGGCTTTGTGGAGTTTTCTGATCAGCATATTGCTGACGCTGTTGTCAGCTCGTCGAACGCAAATTTAAATGGGGTTCGCGTCATGAGTAAGACGCGATGGCTCGAGATGAAGGAGCAATTGAAACGTCAGTTGTACCGCACTGACGTAGCTGCAGGCACTGGTAGTGATAAAGCCGATGCACCAGACGGATCTAAAAGCTGTGAGTTGGGCAACAGTGCCGTTACTATTACCAAAACAAAGAAGCGTCGGACACCAACGGCAAGAGAGCACGTACATTTCGGTGACGATAATATCAACGAAGGAGCTACTAAGAAACACAAAGTATAATTAAAGCCACAATTACTCTTTATTAGATGCGGTAAGCTGCCGGGTCGACATGCTCAAGATCGTATAAGTGGGCGATCTTCTTCATCATTTCTTTTCGACTTTTGCTCGTGGCGTTGTCAAACAGAAGATCGTAAAGTGAACTGAGGTTGAACGCGACCACGCCATTGAGAAACCGCTGCGGGTTTGACCTGATCATTCGCTCAAGCGCAGCAACGGCTGCCTTTACGTCGCAGCAGTAAAGTGCGCAGATTGCATAGTTATTGACGGCTGAGCACACAATATCTTCATCAAGGAAAATCTCTGCATCAGAGTTCGTCGACGTCGAGACTTGCGTGTTTCGCAAATACAGAATGGAGTTAAACGCGCCCAGCGCTTCTTGCAGCTTGTTCTGCGCAAAAAACAATAAACCGTCATTCAAAAGCAAGCGTGCTTCTAGTTCTTTCACCCAATTTGTCGGAACTCCACCGTCATTGCCAACACCAGTTTTCACTTGGCTAGTGTGATCGCGAGCAGCCTTAAACAGCTTCTCTGCAGCCGCCAGGTCACCCATCTGCAGACGAATGCGCCCCACTCGGGACAATACGGTTACTTTTTCCTTATCGTCCAAAAAGCTAACCTGTAAATTAATTAACATAATATCAAATTATCGTTAGTCAGCAGGCATCTAGCCACGACCATCTTAAATCTACAGCACTTACATCAATCTGCGAACAGATACGCAAGGCCAGCATGAACTTTTGCTGATGCACTAGATGATTTGCGAGCGCAAACTGTGCGATTCGTAGCCACCGTGCAGCCACTTTCAATTCGACACCCAGACGAGGCATCGTCTCATTCTTTTGAATTGCGCTTTGCAGTCGCGTGTTCAAGTGGAACAGCTGCTTCTCGTGCATTGTAGATTTTCCTTGACATTTGCTTAGTAGCGCTTGGAGGAGGAGCAGACGGATAGGCACGAACGGGGTTACCCCACTCGCTATTGATATTTCGTCAAGGTTTCCAATCTGATCCAGCACACTGGTTGCATTATCGTAGTGACCCTCTTTAATGAGGCCGGCAAGCCACCAGGACTTGATTTCTAGCGTCAAGTTGACATCTCTCGACGGGCTCTGCAGCATTGATAGCGATTTTTTCGTCAATGACTTCCATCGCTTCTGGGCGTACAGCACTTCTAAGCCTTCCACAGTGTCTGGGATGTCTGCTAGAAGGAGCTTGTTTGCGGGAGGGGTCGCAAAGCATTCATCTACTGGCATTTTAAAAAAATCGTCGACCAGCTTGTCCGAGGATGGAGCTTTGAGCGTAATTGGAGAGGCTGACGAGGATGATAGTGTTGCATCATGGTCCGACTTTGGCGGGGAAGAGGCGCTTTGTGCGTCTGGCATGCGTAATCCAGGTGTTGCCGCTGATGATGAAGAAGTTCGGAGCGACTGCGACCGAGCGGTGTCCCCATATCCGAGAAATGGTGCAGCAGGAGGAGGTGTTTGTCCAAACGGACGCAATGACGAATGTTGCTGTTGTTGATACGGCGCATATTCTTGTGCAGTTCGAGAAGGGGGTTGGGACCTGTTAAATGATGATGACATCGAACTCTGCGAAGGGGTTCGATGTGAGTGCCGTGACGACATCGAACTAGATACCAATACTTTTTCTGGACTGCCAAACAAATTTTTGTAAGCGTCCTGCTGGCTTGGCTGTCCAGAAGAAGAGCTTGGGCCAAAAAGGTCTTCCGCTAACGTTCGACTAGCATCCCCTGACATCTCACTGTGGGATTGTTGCATCGAAAATGGCGGAACTATCCCAGTAGGGCTTCCAAATGGGTCGGTACTAGATCGATACCGCTGAGACGATGAAGGGGCAGTTTGCCCGAAAAGGTCGATCGCCGATGGTGGTGTAGCTTGTCCGAGAAAATCAAACGTAGCATCTGGTCGGTGTGGAGGCTTGTCAGCAAAGAGTGACGGAGGGGGTTCAGATAAAGCGCTAGCCATTGACGCCGATAGATGTCGCTGCGGAACCAGCGGCGTGGATAGTTGCGTCGGTGTAGCGCGTACCGCGTGACCTGCGTAGCCAAGTCTAAGCGATACACCAATTGTCGTCTAATCGAAGTCAAACAGCACAACGAACCTGGAAACTGACCGGGGGCACCAAAACCAGGCCGAACCTGATTAATCATAGCTACAGGGCTACAAAAGAGTGTACTGGTAAGAGCACAAGTATAGGTTGGCCACTTAAGAGAAGCAAAAACTACCCGGACGCGAATGGGGAAGGCCTTGCTTCGGATGGAACGGTAGGCCCGCTAGTATTGACAGTGTCATGTACCGGCGGCTGCTGTGGGGGGAAGCTCCCTGCCATTCTGTAGAACGATCTCTTTTGTGTGCTAATATTAGCCTATCAGCATTTTTTGATTAATGCACCTGATACTATACTCTGACTTAAAGTAGAGATTATCCTGGCCATAGTTGTAACGGGGTTACACGACGGTTGTAACATCATTCCGAAAGTTTACGGTTGAAGTTTCCTTTTATTGCATATAATGCATTTTTGATACATCTCTTTAGAGAGGTATTAAGTATAAGCGCTAAAGATACGGTATTCGGTAATACCGTATCTTATTGATTAGGATTCGATAATCGATAACGCTGTACTAAGTACATCATACACAGATGTTTAGACGATACATCGTCCAATAGCAAAGTCTGCACATTATAATTACTATTATAGTAATTAATCTAGTGTAGTGTACTTAGAGTAGGACTATTCATAAAATCTTAATGCATAAATAAATCAGTTCTCATTTTGAGTTTAAGATCGCAAGTCGTCCTGACTTGTTCTCTTGTGCACTTCGTGCGTTGGTTTTCTGCACCTTAAAGCTTCTAGCTTGTTCTTGCACAATGTGCGTTGTTTCTCTGAACCTTAGCTTACTGCTTGTTGACTAAAAGTCTCTTTCCTAGTTCCTTAAAACAGGGTGACTTTAAGTCGTTTAATTAGTTCCTAAGAACTAAGTAGCTTTTAGCCTTAACTCTATTTAGTTCTCTAAAACTAAGAGGATTTCAGCCTAAAGTCTTCCTCTGGCTAAAGAGCTGTGCAGCTCCGATACACTTGGTAGCACTTGTAGTCAATCCTACACCTGAGTCTTTAAAGACTGACCATCTGTGAGGATGGAGAATCAAAATCACCTCTCTGAGGCGCAACGACTCGCACTCCTTCGCTATAGAACAGAAGTGCTATTGGCGCGAGCCATTAACTGAGTCAGTGAGTGTGAGTGTTTGAGTTGATAAACTCCAATGTCAATAATAATAGTGTTGAACAGAGTTCAATGACACCTAGTGGAACGGCACGTACTCCGTTGAGTGATACTCATAGTAATATTGAGACACTGGATGTCGGTGATGACATCGGCTCTAGTATAGAGTAAGTTAAGGTCGATGACCTTGTTAGTGATATTGGCTGTAAATGCGATTCACTGGATGTCGGTAATGACATCGGCTCTTGTATAGAGCAAGTTAAGGTCGATGAACTTGTTAGTGATGTCACTGGTACTAGCGACTCACTGGATGTCAATACTGACATCGGCTCTCGCATAGGGCAGGTTAAGGTCAAGGAATCTGTTGACCTTGGGGATGATGTTATCCCAATTACTTTACAAAGTACGGTCTCGTCAATGATACGGCAGCGTCGCCAACAGCAGATGGCGACTGCGAGACGTAAAACGTCTGTTTTATCGCGTAGTAATGTCAGTACACCCTGGTAAACCGAGTGACAGATGATGTAAATGGTGAGGTTGACCTTGAGGTCCTCCCATCACTAAATGCTCTCTTAGAGCTAGATGAAATGTCTGTGGATGAAATTCATCAGGCCTTGAAGGCAGGTGCTTTATCCGATATGGTAATCATTCGACCTTATCTCGAGCTGAACTCATCCTCATTTGTCGATGAGACAGTCCTCGAAGATACAAAGGCGGCACTTAATGCACGTGTGGCGAAGCGAAGGAGTGAATTTGGCGAAGTGTGATCGCATATTTTCGGTTAAGTCCGAAATGGCCAATATTGATGCATCGCGATCTCGCAGAATAGTTTCGAGATGATGGCAAATGGGATGGAAAACAGTGAGCGGTGGAGTTTGTAGTTCTATGTGGGTTAAATATGGCCTAGAAACTACGCAATTGCGATCTCCGGTATCTTTCGATGGCGATCCGCGTGAACGCGATCGCTAAGAAGGAGGATTGGTACATCCACGTATGTGGAAGACGGTCTGGTGTGAATCACGTCGCTATGGAAGACTGGAATGACATGTCATATAGATGGACCATCTCACATGACCCGAGAAACGGTGAAGATGATCCGGCGGACAGCAATCCGATATTAATTATTATTACCACGATCCGATACTAATTATTAGTACCGCGATCCGATACTAATTATTAGTACCGCAATCCGATACTAATTTGTGGCGAAGTGAAGGAGTGAATTTCGCAAAGTGTGATTACATATTTTCGGTTAAGTCCGAAATGGCCAATATTGATGAGTCGCGATCTCGCGGCCAATATTAATGAGTCGCGATCTCGCAGAAAGGTTTCGAGATGACGTCAAATGGGATGGAAAACAGTGAATGGTGTAGTTTGCAGTTCTATGTGGGGTCAAATATGGCCTAGAAACTGCGCTATTGCGATCTCCAGCATTTCCGATGGCAATCCGCGTGAACGCGATCGCTAAGAAGGAGGATGGGTACATCCAAGTATGTGGAAGACGGTCTGGTGTGGATCACATCGCTATGGAAGACTGGAAGAGAGTGGACATGACATGTCACATAGATGGCCATCTCACATGACCTGAGAAACGGTGAAGAGGATAAGTCGTGATCCGGCGTATCGCGATCCGATGCTAATTTATTAGTATCGCGATCCGATATTGATTTTTAGTACCGCGATCGGATATTAATTATTAGTATCGCGATCGGATATTAATTATTTAGTATCGCGATCCGATATTAATTATTAGTACCGCGATCCGATATTAATTATTTAGTATCGCGATCCGATATTAATTATTTAGTAACGCGATCTGGTACTAATTATAAGTACCGCGATCCGATATATTAATTATTAGTACCGCGATCCGATACTAATTATTAGTACCGCGATCCAAAATTAATTATTTAGTACCGCGATCTGGTACTAAAATGGTATTATATCCGAGTGAGGTAGCGATCCAGATCGCAGCTATATTGGAGTGGACCACATTCCGAGATCTGATTTTTTCCGAAAGGGCGATACGTGGCAACAGATCCTGAGCTACAGATAGTCAAGATCATAGGTTTTGGTATTTGATTGGTTAACATTAAACAGAGTTCAATTTGCTTCTAAGTACACGTGTCGACTTCTCTTCCGGGCTGAATTCTTTGGCCACCGGACGTCTCAAGGAAGTCTACATACTACGCAAGTCATATCCCTGGATTGTTTGGCCAGGGATTGCAAGAATTCTCAACAAAACAACTCAAGCTGCGATTGGACGCAGAGGACTAAGAAGTCCAGATACAAGATCGCGAGACGGCTCAAGTGGTCAGAAGGCAAGCGTATCAAGTATCAACCAATTGGATAAGGCGATCTCAAGGGAGATCAGGGCGACTCAATAGAGCACCCCAAGAACAACTGCGATCGTGTGAGGAATTCCACTCGATCGCCCCCCCCACCTATCCCTAACACAATCAAGTTCAACATCGACTCAAGTCTGCCGAGAAGAGAGCAACCCGCCCTACCGACGGGTACACAAGGTGAGGAAGGAAAGTTACACGGAATCGGGGTACCCCCTCCGTTAGTCGGTCGTCCGGGCGCCAGTGGAGAGTTGGAAACGCATCAGAAATTTTGCGAATCCCACTCCACCACAATGGTGCGCGTGCCCGGATCTTCTGGTGACTCGGGATTTCACCGTGAGTCCCTGAGGGAAGATGTAAAGGTCAAAATTGAACCTGGGATTGAAGCGTCAGCGGCAAAGGGATCACCGCAGACGTGTGAAGAAAAAAGATCCCCGGATCATCAGCGTTTTGGGAGGGGCGCAGATGAGCAGAAAACAAAAGAGGAAGATCGATCACTTGATCTGGAAGAAAAACCTCTACCCCCTCCCCAGGTCCTTTCGAGGACCCCTGCGGATCACGTTGCAAAACGCGATCCGCTGGATAAAAACCCTTCGGTCATAACCGAGGGAAATTTATCCAAAACCACTTCGAATTCGAAGAAGAAGAAGAACTCGAAGCCATTTAGAGTGAAGATGAAGGCGCCTGAGTCGGATCATGATGATGCCGACATGAAGCTGGCGCATGAGGAAGACAAGACGAAAGGATGGCAACTGGATCAGCTGGAATGGTGTTTTCATTGGAAGGCGCTTAAAGATCTGTTGCCAAGCGATCCCGTTCTAAGGATTCTGAAGCCGAAGTTAATTGGATCGCTGCGAGGACCAATTTCAGCTCCCATTCCGACACCGAACCAGTTAAAAGCGATTCGTCGGCTTATGGAGCTGCTCCAAAATGCTGGATTCACCGCTGGAGCTTTTGACGCGCAGGTGCTGTTGAAATGCGATCATGATCGGGTGATCCAAGCAGGGCGATCTCTTTTTTCGAAGCTAGTTCCTCTAACTGGAGAGCGTGATCCGGTGAATCAGACGATCCAGCCGATTGCAGCTATATCAAAAGGATATCATACTGGATCTTCGCAGTATATGTCAGCGGAATCCGAAGGGGAGTCGGACGACTCGATTAATATGCAGCGAATGTCACTTGGACCGGCTGGTGCAGCGCATATTCGCGAGCGACTGGCGACGATTAAGGCCAGAGAACAATCGACGACGGCACTCACAGCTGAATACATGAATGTGACTGGATCAGGTCAATTGCAATCCTATTTTGAAGCTGCTATGAGAAAGTACGAGCAGGATCAAGCTCGCATGATCGCCAGTCGATCCGCGATCCTCACAAACACCCCAAAAGTTTGCATTTCGGATGTGGATATGTAATCGGCCGGATCGCGTCAATCGCGATCCAATAATTACGATCCAGACGATTTGGGGTTGGAGGATCTAAGACGGCCACAAGTCGAAAGTGCAGGCGCTTTACCTAATGGTGGACTTGTCACGCAGCGGATTCGAATGTCTGCGATTGCAGATCTAAAAGAATTTACAGGACGGGACAAGGATGAAGATCGAGCGAGAAGTTTGATTGACAAGGCCAAGTCGGCGTTCTTACGCGACCAAGCCCCGGATGATGAAAATGCCTAGTATTTGGTGATTTACTCACGGGGCCGGCACGAAATTGGTATAGCCAGTTAAGTCGATCCACTCGGAACTCTTGGAAGTCGTTGCTGG